GAAACGCAAAAGCAAAAGACTAAACCAGTTAACCCAGGTTTTTAGGGATGAAAACGACAGGACGGAGGGAGGAAGCTCCTCTGACGAAGGAACGGAGAAGTTCAGACCCAGCCAGGGGAAAATTAGCATTGTAGAGGAAGAGTGTGATGCTCCTTTATGCCATAGAAAGGCAACACGCACTATCGTCACTGAAGATGATGATGGAGAATCAGAAAATACCTACAATGCCTGTGAAAGACATGCAGGTAGAAAGTCCTTCAATGGCCAGAAAGTGCTGAAAGAATATGAAGGCATACCAAACGATACAGATGAAGAAGAAGGACAGGCTAACACAGGAACCATCGTGAATAAGCCTACAGAAACTACAGGTGAGTGCATCCCAGTAGTTGAAGTTCCCACACTTGAATCTATGAGCTTCGCCTGTGAAATCGAAAATTGCCCCAAGCAAGCAAACTACGAATCAAACATAGACACAGGAAAAGGACTAAAGGTTATCAGAACCTGTGCTGACCATGCAAATGAACAAGCAGTTGGCAAAGGTCCTTTCGAGGATATTACACTAATTAACTCAGACGGAATGTCAGAGTATTCTTTATCCTCCCTCCATACCAGCGATCTAGATGCAGACAAACGAGTAAAGAAAGCAATCAGGGAAATCCTGCCTGCAATTACCCCAGCAGTAAAAGGACAGAGGAAAAGCAGAACCAGAAGCCTCTCCTCCCCCTATGCCTTAACTACTTCAAACAAACAGAAAGACACTCCATCCTCTCAAGTAGGGAAAAACGCTACGGCCTCAGAGGAGATTCTTGGATCAGCAGACAGTGTAACAGTAAAGGATATGGGGGATGTCGAACTATCCGAAAACATGATCGACAATGCTACACAACCAGATCAGGAAGTAGCACAGAAATCCCTTGCAGATGCAAATCCAGATATTACAATGATCGACAGCACCGATGAGGAGGATGGATACTTCCCCTCGGTAATGATTCCAAAAGGGGAAAACCTTTCAGAATTCCCGAACAACCCTAATTCGTCCAATGCTGTACACCTGTACATAGATGATGCCCGCTTTGGCTTAGCTTTGGACTGGAAAGTCCGTGATGTCATCAAATCTCTGGCAAAGCAAGC